ATAAAACATAGAAATAGCCTGGAAGGCAAAACACTCCCTGCCTGACCTTTGTAAGGACACTTAAGAAATTACATAAACTCAACATTAATTAAAACCGCAAGCGGTGATGAAGGGCCCTCGCACCCCTGTGCATGTCGGGGTGTGTCACGACCGCGGGAGTGCAGCTGCAGCTTAATGTGGCTAATTAGCAGACCGTGCAGTTCGATTTGTGTAAAAGTCGTAGTACTGGCATGTTGAAATAAGCAACGTAATGAAGATCACATGAAATTTTGACTTAGAGCAGTTCAGGCTGGCACTGTCATGATAGCTATGAAATTTGGAGGAAATTGAGCATTGTGTATAGGATGTAGTACTTACTCTTTGTTGTAGGGGGCACTGTGGTTGAAATTGACTATTGTTATGTCAATGTGTTCAAAGGCCAACCCTGATCATACTTGTTAAATTTTAAGCAGATCAGACAAAGTAGCTGAGATGCAGTACCGCCTCTTTCCAGTAGGGGGCGCTATGTTAATGGCATAATTCGTGCTTGGGCCCTATTAATCATTTGGGTTCCAAGAGGGTCCTACGCACTTGTCAGTGCTTCGGGCCCTAGAAATAATAATCACTAGGGTTTCAAGAGGGTCCTTGCACGGTTCGTGCTCGGGCCCTAATAATCTCTAGGGTTTCAATAGGGTCCTACGCACTTGTCAGTGCTTCGGGCCCTAACTAAAGGTTTTCTCCAAAATGTCTCCAAACTTCCCATTCTCCACATTCTCACTTAGGTCTTGCATTTGCAGAGAAATAAGATATATTCTGTGAATATAAACTGAACTTGACTAAAGAGACATTCAAGATACTTACTAGGCAATGTGATGAGAGCACCTCCTAAAAGAGCTTCACATCAACATGTATTTGAGGAAACATAATGCATATAGAGGAAGTATAAAGAAGAAGTATCAAGACAAAACTGTGGTTTTGGTCTTGTGTTGGTTAAGACATTCTATGTTTTGAAACAAGTTTTAGCATGATGGTATTACTGGTTTAATCACAAAGGGAGAGGACCCAAAAGTAGCCTTTTAAAATTAATTTAACAGACAAAAAAATAAAATGTGTAAACCAATTTAAGCTGCTGAGTTCTACTGAACAGTACTTTTTGTTTAAAGGGGACAACAATCCACTTGCACAATGTTTTTGAACATATATTTGGGTAACTTGAGTGTCTACGGACACTGTGTCAAATTTTCTCCTCTTTATTCTCGTTACAGAGGAGTGATGTCTACCAGGAAAACTCAGGGGGGGCTCATTGCATTTAAAGAGACACACACACCAAAACGGAGCGTTCTGAGAGAGGTGGTTTATACAGGGTCACAAACCTCCTCTGGTGCTTGATTCATGTTATATTTTGACCAAAGCACAGCACAGATGTTTCATTTAACCACATGGGACTGTTTGAAAAGGTGGAGAAGGTGTACAATATGTCCTCTTTAAAAAAAATCAGAGGGGTGGAGCAGCAATTGTAAAAGTGTGGGTGTTCTACTGCTAGTAAATTACCACACTCTAACAAATCAACACATTCTGTTTCATTTAATGTCCAATAACTAATGTTAGCTGACACATCACACAACAAGACAAAGTTACAAAAGATAGTTAGACACTAACTTTATGAACATCCATTGTGAGTAACCCAGTTAGCTAAAGGCTTTATATGCGATTTTTTGATCCAGCAGATGTCGCCCTTGAGCACCAGCATGAAACCAAAACAACTCGCAGTACATTGATGTGTTAGCATGCTAATGATAGTGATCTTTACTATGCTCGTATTTTCACACTGCATGTAAATTTACCCGAATTGAGCGTGATCTAGAAACACAGTTAAGCAGTGAGTACAGTATGTTATTCTTCTTTTCTCTAGTCCCTCAATTAAAGAACTTTTATACGCGAGGGGAGGAGTCTGCTGCCGTCCCGGCAATGTAAACAAACTGAAGACAAGACTTGGAAAACTCGGAAAACATCACAGACAGTGGGACTCGGGTGTTACACCCATTGTAGACATTCATGACTCACAGAGTTATTTTCAGAGGAAAATTTATACTACATTTAAGTGTGAAAAATCGCATGTAAAGCCTTCAAGCTCTAAAAACGAGATCCAAAACTGCTCTATGTGATGCTTTTATTTTGCTTACGGTATTGCTGTATGCCTCAGTCACTTTATTTCTGGTCTTCATATAAAATGTGCTTTTATTTTGAAAAACTGCAAAGGGGACTTCCGCTTCATCGTAAAGTTACGGGAGTAAATAAATACAGCTAAAAGAAAAACCAAGAGGAGAAAATTTTACGCTTACATTGTTTTTTGAGGTGGATTTATCTTAAAAACATTTGTTTGGGTGAGTAACTTTCTTTCAGAAGGATGCTACATGTTGTGGATCCATTTGTTAGCTCTAAGCTCTGACTCAGCCAGTGATGAGTGAAAGGAGGATTACTGCTAAATGCACGTCACTTTACCGTGCTTCAACTGTAACCAAACAGCTATGATTGGCTTAATTGTCACTTAATAAATCTTACTTGACCAATAGGTTTTCATCGATGACTCCACTGGTAAAAAGTCAAAAAGTGTGGGGGATAAAAATACGTTTCAGTGACAGTGTGGGTGTCGCAACACCCACAACACCCACAGGTGAGACGCGCCTGATAATGCATATAGAGGAAGTATAAAGAAGAAGTATCAAGACAAAACTGTGGTTTTGGTCTTGTGTTGGTTAAGACATTCTATGTTTTGAAACAAGTTTTAGCATGATGGTATTACTGGTTTAATCACAAAGGGAGAGGACCCAAAAGTAGCCTTTTAAAATTAATTTAACAGACAAAAAAATAAAATGTGTAAACTTAAACCAATTTAAGCTGCTGAGTTCTACTGAACAGTACTTTTTGTTTAAAGGGGACAACAATCCACTTGCACAATGTTTTTGAACATATATTTGGGTAACTTGAGTGTCTATGGACACTGTGTCAAATTTTCTCCTCTTTATTCTCGTTACAGAGAAGTGATGTCTTCCGCAAGATACCGCTGAGTAACCATGGTAACATACGGTTCCCTTTTCCACCTGAGAGAGGGAAGTTTTTCCCAAAGCCTGCTGCTGTATTTCTACCCTACACCTTGATGAAGGAGACTTCATTCAGCTGCGAGTGTGACTTCTAACTGAGTGCACTCCATCACAGAGGGGGAGGATGTAGGGGTTGGATTGAAAAAGGGCCCTAGACCATGTGCATATAAAACTTCCAACTTCCTGTTCCTAAAGGAAGTGATGCAAAACCACCCCTATGGGGGGCTAAATTACAGAAAAACTGAATATTTATAAAACATAGAAATAGCCTGGAAGGCAAAACACTCCCTGCCTGACCTTTGTAAGGACACTTAAGAAATTACATAAACTCAACATTAATTAAAACCGCAAGCGGTGATGAAGGGCCCTCGCACCCCTGTGCATGTCGGGGTGTGTCACGACCGCGGGAGTGCAGCTGCAGCTTAATGTGGCTAATTAGCAGGCCGTGCAGTTCGATTTGTGTAAAAGTCGTAGTACTGGCATGTTGAAATAAGCAACGTAATGAAGATCACATGAAATTTTGACTTAGAGCAGTTCAGGCTGGCACTGTCATGATAGCTATGAAATTTGGAGGAAATTGAGCATTGTGTATAGGATGTAGTACTTACTCTTTGTTGTAGGGGGCACTATGGTTGAAGTTGACTATTGTTATGTCAATGTGTTCAATGGCCAACCCTGATCATACAAGTGAAATTTCAATCAGATCAGACAAAGTATATAGGATGTAGTACTTAGTCCTTGCAGTAGGGGACACTGTGGTTGAAGTTGACTATTGTTATGTTAAAGTGTTCAGAGGCCAACCCTGATCATACTTGTTAAATTTTAAGCAGATCAGACAAAGTAGCTGAGATGCAGTACCGCCTCTTTCCAGTAGGGGGCGCTATGTTAATGGCATAATTCGTGCTCGGGCCCTATTAATCATTTGGGTTCCAAGAGGGTCCTACGCACTTGTCAGTGCTTCGGGCCCTAATAATAATAATCACTAGGGTTTCAAGAGGGTCCTTGCACGGTTCGTGCTCGGGCCCTAATAATCGCTAGGGTTTCAATAGGGTCTTACGCACTTGTCAGTGCTTCGGGCCCTAACTAAAGGTTTTCTCCAAAATGTCTCCAAACTTCCCATTCTCCACATTCTCACTTAGGTCTTGCATTTGCAGAGAAATAAGATATATTCTGTGAATATAAACTGAACTTGACTAAAGAGACATTCAAGATACTTACAATGTGATGAGAGCACCTCCTAAAAGAGCTTCACATCTTCATGTATTTGAGGAAACATAATGCATATAGAGGAAGTATAAAGAAGAAGTATCAAGACAAAACTGTGGTTTTGGTCTTGTGTTGGTTAAGACATTCTATGTTTTGAAACAAGTTTTAGCATGATGGTATTACTGGTTTAATCACAAAGGGAGAGGACCCAAAATTAGCCTTTTAAAATTAATTTAACAGACAAAAAAATAAAATGTGTAAACTTAAACCAATTTAAGATGCTGAGTTCTACTGAACAGTACTTTTTGTTTAAAGGGGACAACAATCCACTTGCACAATGTTTTTGAACATATATTTGGGTAACTTGAGTGTCTATGGACACTGTGTCAAATTTTCTCCTCTTTATTCTCGTGACAGAGGAGTGATGTCTACCAGGAAAACTTAGGGGGGGCTCATTGCATTTAAAGAGACACACACACCAAAACGGAGCGTTCTGAGAGAGGTGGTTTATACAGGGTCACAAACCTCCTCTGGTGCTTGATTCATGTTATATTTTGACCAAAGCACAGCACAGATGTTTCATTTAACCACATGGGACTGTTTGAAAAGGTGGAGAAGGTGTACAATATGTCCTCTTTAAACAAGATCATCAGCATTATTAAAGAGGAAATATTTCTGAAAAGACAGTTAAGTGTGTCTGAGGGCTTTTGTAAAGTCACTTTCTGTCTGTCCTTTCATCATGATACATGCACCCTATACATCCGCCATGAGGAGCATACAACAGAAACACCTTTACTTGACCCTGGGTAAGGCACATTTTTCTAATATTTAACATTTGAAAGCAGGTTAACAGAATAGTTACTCACTTTATTATTCTCAATTGATTCAAATATTGAGAGAGAGTTAGGAGAAAAATGGACTTTTATATGTCTGCACTTTCTTCTCTTCTATAGTGGCTTTACTCTGGACCTCTTCTTTGCCTGCTACAGGTCAGTCCTATTTTCATGAATTATTTCATTTTCACCATAGCCTGTATTCAGTCTATTGTGCCTGAAAGGTGGTCAGTACGACGGAGGATTAGGGCCACGTTAAAGAAAAAAAAGAATCTAAAATTTCAAGATTAATCTCGTAAATTCATGAGTATAAAGTCATAAATATACAAGATTAATGTTGTTATTTTAGTCTATAGTTATATCAGAAGAGCAGCCGCCTGTTCAAAAATGACAAACGTGGAGCATCTTTTGAAGTTATACTTTGATAGAGGTAAACCACACATTGTTTTCGCACATCATCATCACAGTGTCATATGTATCAGGACCCTGAAAAGACATTTCAAGAAACTGGGGCTTCTCGGAAGAAAGAACCACAATGACTGGGAGGAAATTGTCTCTTTTGTGGCAGAGGAAAAGGCTTTAAGGGTTCTCCTTTCATCATTTTCACACAGGCCAATGGCTGCTCTTTTGATACAACCTTTTAGAATAATAATTTAAATTAAAACCGCAAGCGGTGATGAAGGGCCCTCGCACCCCTGTGCATGTCGGGGTATGTCTCGACCGCAGGAGTGCAGCTGCAGCTTAACGTGGCTAAGCAGCAGGCCGTGCAGTTCGATTTGTGTAAAAGTCGTAGTACTGGCATGTTGAAATCATAGACTGTAAAAATAATGGACGGGACAAGGTCCCCGGTCTAGTGAAGCTTTTATTTTTAGAGCTCCCCCTACTGACTGGCTGCAGTATAGGTCATAAACCCGGCCTCCTCAATGATAACAGATGGGATGTGGGTCAAACTGTAAAGCTAAAATACTCGTCACATAAATTTTTTCCAAACATAAACTCTGCTGTGATCATTAGTTATTATCACCCTACATTGTGTTGAAGTGCTAATTTTTCTGTAAAGTAGTTTTTAAATAAGTTATTTGAGATTGAAAAACAGGATTTCCCGTCATATTTGACGATGATTGACAGCCGCCGATCTTGCGTAGCTCTCTTTGTGAATAGCAAAAGTTACGTAGTGAAGGAAATCCGAGACGCCATTGAATTTTTCTGTTCAGTTTTTTCGTCTTTTTTAAGCTGGCAAAATGAGTTAATTTTGCAGTAAACTGTTCTAACCGACCTGTGGGAGCTAAGGGATCTTTGCAGACTTTTCGGTAAGTAAAAAAGTGATTTATGTGTCATTGTTTGGTTAAAGTCGTTATCTAGCTAGCTAACACATAAGCAGTCTGAAGTTAGCTGAAATACTGTAAAGCTAGGTTACTGATCCGGCATGATTTATCTTTCTATTTTATTAAATGAGCAAACCTAATAACTGACATGCTATGTTTCTTGATATTGTTATATCGTTATTGTGATTGAAATTGTATTTAAAACCAAGAATCGTTATAAAAATCTGCTCACAAATGCGGTTCATTGACTGTACAGTTATTTTACAGCAAAAATAAATAGTCTGGTAAGGTCTCAAAAAAGTATGTAGGGCAAAAACAAAGTCACATAATTGTAATCTGGCCTGCATCATTACTAATGTGTACATGTTTACAGTCTGAGTGATAAGTGGGCTATACCGAGAGTAACAGGTTTTACTTTCACCGCTGAAATTCATAGTACTATATACGAGGGTAGAATATTTCTCTAGCTATCCAGATTAAACTAAAGGTAAGATCTGATTTAATACAACTGTTACTGATTTAAGAGACTAACCGAAACGTGAACACAAACATCAACAACCGGCGGTGGTGTAATGTAATATTAACTGAGCATCATGCTGCTTAAACGTAATAAATATTCTGCATTGTCTCCCACACACCAATTCAACAGTCACAAGTTGATCATATCGTAAATTTATGACACTCATTGAGAAATTGTTCTAAAAATTGACAAAACCTGACAAACATTGCGGTGATTGAGACTGTGTATCTGTATTTATCACCTTTGAAAGGAAGGTGTTAATGCAGGAGACCAGTGTTACACACAACAGGCTGCTGTTACGTTAGTTAGGAGGAGACATAGGCACAATAAAAGAAGGCATAAAGATCACGTTTTCCCCCACACATGTTAATATGTTTTAAATGTCATGCATTTATTTTTGATTTCGCTTCAATAATCGTTAACGAAGAGAAACACCATGATTAAACTACAGGCTATTGTTGCCTTTTTATAGCCAAAGAAAGCTGAACATTCACAGCCTCTGCATTCAAATATGGCTGACAAAATGATTCATACTTTGCATTGCACACAGTACATCATTTGATAAATAATATGAAGCTCTATTATTATATTTTTGCACAGTTTTCTTTTAGGTGGTGGTGACACAGGCAGACTTGAGCAGTGGGTGGTGAACATGAGACAGAAGAACTGGAGACCTACACCATCATCTCGTCTTTGCAGTGTTCATTTTGAAGAGCATGCGTTCACCATGAACTCAAAGGTTAGATAATTAATGACATGACAAGTGACTTGTATTTTCATTGCTGTCAGCATCATGTTTGTGGATACATGACTGTGATTTTGGGAAATTATTTCTTTCTTACTGTCTGTAGGGAAATCGTTACCTAAAGACCATAGCTTTCCCTACTCTGTTTCCAAGTCATCATTTGAGGACTTCTGATGCAAAACACAGGATTTTGGATAGTTGTGACACCAAGGTAAATCCCCCGTCATTTTCAAACAGCAGGTTTTCTGGTGACAATAAAGAGGATTCAATAGTTGACCAATGTTACATCAGCTTGACTTCTGCTGCCGATTACAGCAATGCCATCTTGAATAACAATGCAAAAGGAAATTTCCCTCTTAGCATTGACATCTGTCAGACTGACACTGCTGTAACAGTGGATAGAAATATAGAAGATCATAGTTATCAAGCAAAAACATCAACACAAGCAAAACTTGATGCTACAACCTGAAGTCTCTGAGAGAAAACAAGTCATCAATCAACTGAAGAAGAAGCTATTGATATCAAGTCAATGTGCATCTTTGCTCGAGTCAGTTGATGAAGTACCAAAACACATTTTGCGGAAGACACAACAGGGAAAAAAGTCAGCTAAGTACTCAGAGGAGCTGAAGCAGTTTGCCACCACACTGCACTTTTACTCTCCAAAGGCAAATGAGTATGTGCGTGACAACTTTAATAAAGCTTTACCACACAGTCACACCATCCGCACAGCTGATCCAGGATTTACTGTAGCATCTTTTACAGCGCTAATAGGTCATGTACAGGCAAACAGAGAGAAGGGAAAAGAAACAATCTGTGCTTTTCAATTAAATTCTATTTATTTTGTATAGCGTCAACTCATAACAAGTGTTATCTCAAGACACTTTACAAAAAGCAGGTAAAATACCTTACTCTTTGTCTGTTAACATTACAAAAGAGCAGGTAAAAAGACCTTACTCATTGTTATGTTACAAAATGCAGGTAAAAGACCTTACTTATTGCTATATTACAAAGACCCGGCCTATCCATCATGAACACTTTAGCAAAGCAGCAAAAGTTACAGTGGTAAGAAAAAACTGCCTTATTAAAAGGCAGAAATTTTCGGCCAGATCCCCGGCTCATGACGAAACAGCCTTCACAGGCCTAGACTGCGCCGGGGTTGGAAAGGGATAGGGGGAGAGATAAGATAAGATGCAGGAGGAGGGATAGGGAGCAAGGGGGTGGGGGGAGGCAGACCGTCCATCAATAATCCGGTGGGGAGGGGGGGGTGGGGTTGTTCTGGCAGGCCGTCAACCAGCGATCTTGAGGAGCCTAAGAGAGCTCAAGAGCTCTCAGGAAAGTAGGTGGTTAGTGACTGAGATTTACAGATAGATACATGCAGTAATATGATGTACTGTATATGCACAGAGAGAGAGAGAGAGAGAGAGGAGCTCAAGGTGCCAGTTTCCCCGGTAGTCTAAGCCTATAGCAGCATAACTAAGAGCTGGTCTACACCAGCACTAACTATAAGATTTATCAAAAAGGAAAGTTTTAAGTCTATTCTTAAAAATACAGACTGTGTCTGCCTCCCGGACCACGGCTGGAAGGCGGTTCCAGAGGAGAGGAGCCCGATAACTGAAGGCTTTACCCCCCATAGTACACTTGGAGACTGTAGGTACCACCAGTAGGCCTGCACTCCAGGACCGCAACGCTCTCGAGGGACAGTACGGCACTAGTAGCTCCTTCAGGTAAGATGGTGCCTGGCCATTTAGAGCTTTGTAGGTGAGAAGAAGGATCTTGAATTCTATTCTAGACTGTATAGGGAGCCAGTGCAGAGAAGCCAGGATAGGAGTGATGTGGTCCCATTTCCTGGTTCTGGTCAGTACACGAGCTGCAGCGTTCTGGACCAGTTGAAGAGTCTTTAGAGATTTGCCAGAGCACCCTGACAAAAGAGAGTTACAATAATCCAGTCTGGAGGTAACAAATGCATGAACTAGTTTTTCTGCATCATTTTGCGACAGGATATTCCTGATCTTGGATATATTACGAAGGTGAAAATAGGCTGTTCTTGAAACTTGACTGATGTGAGAGCTAAAAGACATATCTTGATCAAAAAGAACTCCTAGATTCCTAACAGTGGTGCTAGATGCCAGGCTGATGTCACTAAGGACAGTCAAATCACTAGAAAAAGTCTCTCTGAGGTTCTTAGGGTCTAGCACAATAACTTCAGTCTTGTCTGAGTTAAGTAGCAAAACATTTCTGGTCATCCAGGTCCTAACGTCCTTAAGGCACATTTCTAGCTGACATAACTGACTGGTGCCATCGGGCTTCATTGATACATAAAGCTGAGTATCATCTGCATAACAATGAAACTGTATGGAGTGTTTCCTCATAATATTTCCCAGAGGAAGCATATATAATGTAAAGAGAATTGGTCCAAGCACTGAACCTTGTGGGACTCCATGGCAAACTTTAGTGTGCATAGAGGACTCATCATTAACATGTACAAACTGAGATCAGTCTGATAAGTAGGATTCAAACCAACTTAAAGCAGTCCCTGTAATTCCAAGCAAATGCTCCAGTCTGTACAACAGGATCCGATGGTCAATGGTGTCAAAAGCAGCACTAAGATCTAACAAGACGAGCACAGACAGAAGTCCCCTGTCTGAGGCTAGAAGTAGATCGTTTGTAACTTTAACTAGTGCAGTCTCAGTGCTATGGTGGACTCTAAATCCTGACTGAAACTCCTCAAATAAACTGTTGTCATGGAGAAAGTCACACAGCTGTTTAGCTACCACCTTCTCCAGGATCTTCGAGATAAAAGGAAGGTTGGATATAGGCCTGTACTTAGCCGGAGTTCCTGAGTCCAGAATAGGCTTTTTAAGTAGAGGTTTGATTACCGCTACTTTAAATGCCTGTGGTACATAGCCTGCCAGTAAAGAAGAATTGATCATATCTAATATAGAGTTGCTAACTAAGGGAAAAACTTCCTTAAACAGCTTGGTTGGGATTGGGTCCAAAATACAGGTTGACGGTTTCGATGCAGAAAAAATGGAATATAGCTCTGAAATGTTGATTGGAGAAAAACAGTTGAGACTATTATCTGGTCCTGGAACTGTCTCTGCCGTATCAGACGTATCCGCACCAGGTAAGGGCAGGAGGTTACCAATTTTGTCTCTGATGTCTAGAACTTTGTTGTTGAAAAAGCTCAGGAAGTCATTACTGCTGAGGGCTAGAGGAATACAAGGCTCAATGGAGCCATGACTCTCTGTCACCCTGGCTACAGTGCTGAAAAGGTATCTAGGATTGCCTTTGTTTTCCTCAATTAGAGAGGAGTAGTAGGCAGCTCGGGCGTGACGTAGAGCCTTCATATATCTTCTATGACTATCCTGCTGGAAAAAACGAGATTCTACCGTTTTGGTTGAGCGCCATATTCTTCCAAAATTCGCGACGATTGTTTTAGAGTACGGGTTTCTGAGTTGAACCATGGAGCCACTCTCTGCCGCTTGACAACCTTCTGTTTCAGGGGAGCAATCGAATCCAGAGTAACTCTCAGCGAATCCACTGCACTATCAACAAACTGATCTAGCTGAGAGGGACTAAAGCTATCATAAGAGTTTCCAACTGGGTTGAAACATGGTACTAAATCAAAAACAGCTGAAATAGCTTCCTTAAATCTAGCAACAGCACTATCCGACAAACTTCTAGAGAGCACACCTCTTCCAGGCAGAGGTAATTCTAGTAGGACAAAATCGAATGTAATAAAAAAATGTCTGATAGCAGAGGATTTTCTAGGAAAACAGTAAGGTTATGGATTTCAATTCCATAAGCTAAAACAAGATCCAGGGTGTGGTTAAAACGATGAGTAGGTTCGTTTACACCCTGGGTGAAACCAATTGAGTCTAATAGTGACATGAAAGCTGTGCTCAGGCTATCATTATCAACATCCACATGGATATTGAAGTCACCTACAACAATTATTCTATCATTGCTAAGGACTGAATCTGATAAAAATGCTGCAAATTCAGATAGAAACTCAGAATATGGGCCAGGAGGACGGTAAACTACAACAACTAGAACTGGCTGAAAGGTTCTTGAGTCTGGATGTGAAAAACTAAGAACAAGGCTTTCAAAAGAAGAAAATTCAGTTTTGGTCGAGGGTTAACTGGAAGTCCAGAATTAAAATAGCTGCTACTCCACCACCTCGTCTGGTGTCTCGAGGTATACGAGTACAAAAATGACTGGGAGGAGTGGATTCATTCAAACTAAATAACAGCCAGGTTTCAGTCAAAAAAAGTAATCAATATGCTGATCTGATATCAGATCATTCACTAAAGAGATTTGGATGCTAAGGACCTGATGTTCAAAAGTCCACAGTGAATCTTCTGATTTTTTAGCAAAATCGTATTTGTAGTCTTGATCCTGATGAGATTTTGACGATGTACGCCTTTTCTTTCTTCGTTTGGATGACTTGGTCTGGGCCGGGGGACAGACACAGTACCTATAGTATAACTACAGTTCGATTTAGAGTTACAGCTATAGTGACTGGGAGACAGATCTAAAGGAGGCACAGAGAAGCGTGTAAGACTGCAGCTCTGCTCCTGGTCTGAACTCTGAGTTGATGTCAAGGTTTTGGACTAATAACCTCTGCTATGTTTCTAGATAATAGAGCTGCACCGTCCAAAGTGGGATGGATGCCGTCTCTAGCTAGCAGACCAGGTTTTCCCCAAAAGACTGCCAGTTATCTATGAAGCCCACATCGTGTGCTGGACACCACTCGACAGCCAGCGGTTGAGTGATGACATGCGGCTATACATGTCATCAATGGTCTGATTTGGGAGGGTCCAGAGAACACTACGGAGTCCGACATCGTCTTAGCAAAAGTACACACCGACTCCACATTAACCTTAGTAACTTCCGACTGGCATAGTCGGGAGTCATTAGTGCCGACATGAATTACGATTGTATCAAATCTACCTTTAGTCTTTGTCAGCAACTTTAAATGAGATGCGATGTCGCCCGCTCTGGCCCCGGGTATACATCTAACTATACCTGCTGACTTCGCTAGCTTCATGTTCCGGACTATGGAGTCTCCAATAATCAGAGTTTTATTCTCAGCGGTGTGTCGCTGAGTGGGGAAAATTTGTTTGAAACGTGAAGTGGTTGGTGGGGAACTGTGTGCTTCGATTTTCGACTATGCTTCCTCGGACAGTAATCCAGCCACTGCCT